CCAGACTGTGCACAGCTGCCTTAGGTTCCAGCTAAGGATGGAGACGATAAATTTATTTATAGAGTGATTTCCTCAAGCAGCTCTTGGCAGCCACGTGGTAAGAGAGGAAAATATGGCAGGTCACAATCAAGGGTGGGCAGAGTAGATTACAAGCAAAGTACAAAGAGGTAAGGCCATGGGGATAGTGGCAAGGGAGTGATGCACCATGAGCAAACGAAGAAGAGGAGGGGGATGTGTTATATGTTGGAATAATGGAATAGGGCGGGTGGAGGGGTCACCTGGAAACTGGAAGCCAGCAAAGAGTCAGAAGGAGGACAGCAGGAGTGAAACAGCTAGGAAGGAAAGGCTGTTTCTGGGATTTAATATTTTAGAAGAGGAAGTTAGGGAATTCTGAAGCTAGACCATTGTATACAACATATACAAATCATTCACAGAGACTGAGGCCTCCGATGGTGACAATGATGATGACGACGATGATGGGGTGAGAAAAGACTGCAAAAGCTTCCACTGCCCTCAGTGGATGGTAAAGAATGACCAGGAGTATCCCCAAATCATATTATCTAATTCCTGTATTCCAATAGTCATAAAAATCACTGCCACATTTATCGCCTCAAATATTGTACTTACATCTTTAAACAAAGAGGGACATGGACAAGAAACTGAGATCAATACACTAACCCCCTCTAGCTCACAAAATGATTACATTAAGCAGACAGGGAACCAGTTAACCTGTAAGGATGTACCTGAAGAAGTTACAGGTTTTCCTAGGATACAAAAAATAAAATAGCTGGAAATGCCTAAACAAGTGTTGGCAGCCCCTTCTACTTCACAAAAATGAAATTACTGAGCACAGCAAAGAATAATTAGAAAACTCATAAATGATCACCAATGTTTTACGAACAAATAAGTGAGTGATCACAGATTATATGCTATAAAGAAATGAAACTTTGCATTTCAAAGGTTTATTTCAATCACTCAAATTTTTATTTTTCTCCCCAAAGAGCTAAGCATAGTCAACACTTTGTTCTGACAATTTATCTAGGCTAAAATAATAGAAGCATGAAGCAGAACTAAAACTACACAATTTAACCTTTTAATTTACTCACAAGAACCATTCATGAACTGCTGTAGCTTTAGACATTTCCAACTCTTTCTACACACATATATTTACACTTAATTGGAGCAGTTTGCTTCCAAAGTTCAAAATGTTTTATGTGTAGTAATTTTATATTGAGGTAGAGTAACTGTATTTCTGACCTTCTATATTTTAAGTACCATTATTTTAAAACAAATCATGAAATCCAAAAATAAGAATCAAAAATTTACCTAAAGTCATACTATAGCTATTTTTCATTGCCTCAGAAAGAATGGAGCCACTCAGGGGACATGGCTTTGGCATTTATTAGGGACCAAAAGGTGAGAATAAAATCTGAAAAGTTCTGTGGCAGTATCATAGATACAAAGTTCACACTTACTAGAAGCTCTCATCAGTGTCAAAACACTATCCGCTTAAACTATGACACAAAATAGCAATCTTCTTTCATCTTTCGATTTGTCTTAACCATTTGTTTCTCCAATTATTTATTTAGCCCCTTCATTTTGGCCAAGTACTGTGCCCAACTCTAAGGCTCTAAAGATCAAAAAGTTTTGTAGGG